GCTATCAAACGCCTTCTTAAAGTCCAAGAAGAAGACGACCACTGGACGGCCCTGGTGTATGACTCTTGTCCACATTTCTTGTGAGTAAAGACTGCTTATAAGACAGGAATGACCAGGACGAAATTCGTGCTGAGCAGCACATAACAGGTCCCGCTGCTCCAGCTACGACATTAAATGCCCTTTGATATGTCGTTCCATTACCTTGCATAGAATGCAGGTTAAACTAATAAGACGGTTATCTTCGGGTTCCAGCCTGGATCCTCCTTTGTAGTTTGGAGAAATATGGGCCGTTTTCCATTCCTCCGGCAGATTGCCTTCGTCCATGAACTTCCTTAATATCATGGACACCGGTTCACAGAGTACATTAGCCAATACTCGGAGGACAAATGAATGAATTCCATCTGGACCAGGTAATTTGGCAGGTTTCAGCCGGCGTATTTCGGTCCTTATCAACGTGGGTGAGAAGAAACGATTGTCTTCCAATGCATGACAGGAAGGATTTTGTCGTTGCTTTACGTAAGGCATGACAGGAGGGTTTGTGTCATGAAGGAATACCGACTGAAAGAAATTAGAGAAGGCTGATGCTTTCAGGTGGTCATCTGTCTCAATTAGTCCGTTTTGGGATCTTAGCGCTGGAATCGGTTCACGATTGCTCTGTCCATTACGTATGTAACTATAGAGGATTTTAGGATGCTCTAAGGAATTTTGTAATATGCACAGCTCATCGTTGCATCAAAGTATATAAGCCTCGCGTTTACATACATTCCGCTGTCGATTGTGTTCCTTCAGGTGTTCAGGGCTGTCTGTATGTCGCTAGCGTCTTCACACTTTATTTCTCCTCTGAAATGCGGTTTGAAGTTTCCGGTTTATCCACGGCGGACGGTTGCTTGTTTTCTTTCGTCTGAGTCTGTTCCAGCGATCGCGTCTCCTTCTCCGCGACTACTTCCTGGAACTCGCTCCTTCGCTTCTATTTGTTATAACGATCACAACGGGGCATTCCAGAGCATACACATTCCGAGTAAGTCCTAAATATTTTGCCGGTGTTTCAACGCACATGGATTGGTAACTAGGTTATGCAGGGTAGATGTGGACGGACTGCTCAGCTGTCAGCTATTTCACAAAACACAAGTAACGTTTGCTTGAAAGGCCCAAATGTCCACTGGCGTGTGGGAAAATCAGAAGACTGAGGCTGATACTGCACATCTCATCCCTAAGGCACATCAATGCATTTCGCATTTAAATAAAAACTGAAGTTTTTGAAGTACTCAAAGTGCACTGGAGTAACCGATTAGGATATCGCCAACTAACGCGCTAAATCAGTTCTCGCGGTCCGTCCTGAAGTCTTTGAAGTCACAGACTGGGTGACTCAAAATCAGGCTTATTGTCTTCTCTTTAATCTGACGTGCGCGAAGACCTTACGTCGTGAAGAGCCAGTTTTGAGTGGGACGCCACTGCATCCCGAGGAAGCCTCTGACCATCGTGACACTATTTCGTCACCGAGCCTATGTAATAGATTTAGAATAAAGTGCGGTAGATGCACTGTAAGTTCGCCTTATTATGGGCTTATTCAGAGACAAGCCATCATCCTGCCCAAAAACTCTCGCGGCGCATTTAAGAAATCTTCAGTGACGACATTTGGATTGTCATATATGAAAAGGAAAAAATAGCTGTGAAGCCCATAGTAAATGACTCCTTCAATTGTATGTGGTTAAACTTTCCAAGTCGCACATACTAACTGGTACATGTAGCCAAAAATACTTTTCACATTTTAATAGATTCCGAGGGAACAGGCAACAATTTGGCTACAATTTAGTTGAAGGGAAACAGTCACGCGAGCTTTGCAGACAGATTTTTCAAATTTGAGACAAATATTCGCCGATCTAGGCCTACATATTCGACCTTTATCTCCGAATATAAGCGTTAATTGCGTACATAAGTTCGAAGAAACCGTCAGATTCAACCCAGTTAACATGCATAAGAGAGAAAACATGTCCGCAACTGGTGTCATCTTCTCTACACATTAAAGAATAGCACTAAGACTCGGTCAATTTATTTGAAATCGAAAAACAGCCTAAACTATCTGCAGTCTTCGTCGCTTGCCGTTGCTCAAGCTTAACAAGTTCGTGTCTTACATGTCGCCGGTAGATTTAAGAAACGTTTAAGAGATCAACATGCGCAAAGTAGGAGAAAAAACAATAAATTAAGCCAACGCCTGCCTTGACACCATTTATGTCCTGGGCTACCTATCCGCAGTGTTATTATGAAATTAAATCAGCCAATATCCAAATATTCTATCACAGCTTTTAGAGAAATCGCATTTAAATAACACTCCTTTACGAAATATCAATAATGCGCAATTACCTCGTCTAAATAACGGAAATCTGCAAATGAATTGAGTAGTAGTTTTGCCAGTGCTTTTTGTGGCTTCGACCGAGTCTTAAGAACAGGGATATGCTCAGTTAGAATGATCCATGTGCAAATCCCATAAGCGCTCCTTCCTTCTCAGCGAAACTCATTAATAATAATAAACGTTTTTCAATTATTGGAAGTGTAGGTGCATTCAGTGCACGGATTTCGTTGAATACACAATCCTACGGACAAACTACTTTCTGTCATTTGTTTTTGAGGAATACAGATGGACCGGGCAGTTGTTGAAATCACTACCGTTGGCTTACGTCGTTTTTCCCGGTCCACCGAAAGCAAACGGCACGATTAACGGCTAAAGTCTTAACAGCTGGTCCAGCTCCTGTCGTTCGTACAAAATCACCAGAAAATAAATACAATAACGTGGTTTACTCCCACGACTGGTTTGACAGACTGATTAGTGAGCGAATTGGCTATCTCTAGAGCAAAAACCATAGAGTTTGGCTAAAAATAAAAAAAGCAAAAAACACTTTCGGACCTGGTTATTGTTTCCTCCCTTCAAGTTAACGGAATTACTTAGTGCGTAGAAATGTATTAGCAGGGTGATTTTGTCTGCACTTATGGCTGGCTCAAATATTTTTGGGACACCAGCGAAGGATACGAATTAAGTCGCGGCTATTCGTGTGAATGAGAAGCAGATTTTGCCTTGAACTGTATAGGAAGTAGCCAGCAAGTGCTAGCTTTTAAAAAACCGCAGTGGTAAGAGCAAACCCTCTAACACAAGTGGCCAGCTGCACTGGACCCAATTAAAAACGGTGACTTCAGTGCTCAGCCACTATAAAGTGTCGCTATAGATCGTTGCAGAGGGAGAGATATTATGCTGAAGTTTATTCTAATTACGAAGTAATTTCGGAGACAACAGAATACTAGCTTTCAATTTCTTCGTAATCAATAACTGTTCTGACAGACGTTAAATGGTTCATTTTGACCCATCTGTGAAATCTCAGGAATCCGCGCATTCATAAAATCCATAGTGGGCTGTTCAGCATTTGAGCGTTATCTCTCGTATTTTTGTCGTAAACTATTGAGTTGCTTTTGAAAAGCATATCCTATTTCCGGGAAAGGATATAACCATCTTCTCCTAACTACAAATTAATATCTTGACTTCTTTGTTTTATTGCACCGGCAAATAGGAACGTTCTGGCCGCATTTTTCGTAGTTGTTTGTTCTTTTGTTGGGGTATGGAGTTTTGTGGCGTCTGCAATTTTCTCGCTGCATTAATCTATCTTTATTTCCGTCTTTCGAGATATATAATGGGTAAAAATGATCTGGACTAGAAAGTGTCCCGGAAGGTCCTGTAGACTACAAGTTTCTTCCGACATTTACGTTGTCGGTTCCTTCTATAATTTAACATTGATGGCACCGACCAACAAGTAAATAATGAGCACAATAGCAATATCTCGGAGCTTTTTGTAGTGTTTAAAGGCCACTTGAGTTAGTAAAATTATTTGGTGTTTAAAACAGTTCCCAGGACCAATGAATTAGCCGTCGGCATTCGCAAACAGCTGACTATAATCCCGTTTCGCATACTATTCTACGCATCGTATTGTTGCACCTGAGTACTGACACTGCCATGCACAAGTTTCCTAGTCATTTGTCTTGGGAACTGCTGATAACTAAATAATTTTATTAACTCGATTCGACATGACCAAACGTCCAGATAGATCGCCTTTTTACACATTATTTACGGCGGTCCCTAGTTGGTCATAGTTTACTAGATTATTTTTTGGTTAGCTGCATACTGATACATTGCTTGCAGTGTGTCGGTATAAATTGGATGAGCACCTTCTCCGTATTGCCTACATCCATGTTACCCACTGACTCCAAATAACCAGTGCTTGACTATGAATCGCAGACATTCCCGTTGCATCACACCATTGTCAACCGAGCCTGCATAAGCACTGCTGATCAATTTTAACGTATTAGAAATAGTTCGTAGTCAGTGGGTTGTCTTCAAAAAATCACAGTTCTGTTGTGAATGAAACGGTTTTCAGGCGGCAGGGTGGAATCCATTTCGAAACGATTTTTATCGACTTGGGAGGACTCCACGTTAGTCTGGAAGTTTAATACTGTCAGTGACGTCAACTTGCGACTCATAATTGTCAAAGCCTTGAGGCAACAATAGGTATTGGGTGAAGAAAATGCGTGCTGTTTATATGAGTTCGTCATCAACTTTTAAAAAATGCCAACTTAAAAATATATGCCGAGTTGTGCTTCCTGGTTCCCTCATGTAGTTTTGGCCCTCATTAGCTTTATCTGACGAACTGGAAGACATGGCGTGGCCTAAGTGCCGGCTTTGTTGAGTTGCGGTGTCCGGCGTAATGTCCTTTTGCTTTTCATGGTCTTTATCAAGCTGGTATGTAAAATACGAAGCATTGTCTGAGCTGTTGACTCATCAAATCGTGATTCGTTCGGTTACACGTTGTTATAAGAAACATTCCAGCTTTTTTCTTGTGTATTTCGAATATATTCTGCTATGCCTTTTTATACATAGACATGACGTTGGGGTTATATCCTATACTCATCCTATTTTCGTAACGTAAGCCATCTTATCCTAAATTTAGGGTTATTTTACAATGAGTTTGGTTCATCCCGACACTCGTATCAAATCCAGTAATTTAAGCGACAACAGTACTCGCCCATTCTTGAAAGAACCCGGACGCTCCTACTGTACCCGAGATTCTGCACAGAATGCAAAATGTAGGGTAAGTTTCTTCATTTCCTCATCACCGTTTCTCTCCATTATAATGCCTACGAAAATATGTTGGTTACAATTAATCCCGGCTGCCGGACTCTGACAGAACATTAATATTTTCCATTGGCGTTCGGATTTATTTTAGTCATTGGCCTTTTGGCCCCCGAAATTCATTTTTGATCAAATGACAACTCCGACCGTATCTGAAGGTTAAAAATGAAGGCTTAGATAAGTACCCATAGCTCAAAGTTACCGGAATTTTCGTGAAGGTTACTTTGTGACTTTGCAGATTCGAAAAGCAAATAATAGTAAGCGTCACAGGCCATCACGATAAACACGGAGGAGTAATGCGACACTGCGATGCAGGGGAGCGTTAGGGGAATAATGTATCACTTAATAGTCGCGCTGCAGTGACAGTAGTTGATGTTTAACCAGGAGGAGGACGGTAGGGCTGGTTAAAATTATACGACAATGATAATTTCATTTTCAATTTGCGCTTTTATCACACTGGATTGGATATCAAACATAGTTTTCTCCATGCTAACCGTCGAAGCCCAAAGACCACTTTGCGAATATGTGACAGAGTTGAGTAATTATCTTTACAGGCATAAAATAAGCGGCCCAATGTTTGTGCCCTTTTTCCCGCTAGATCTGCCTGTTTTGAAAAGGAACCTTTTACTCCAACTGATGAGCTCTAACTCAACCAGACTTCGTTTCAATTGCTATTTTGACTGACACCAGTACTGGTTTAGTCGGATTCGCAGTCCATATTATAAGCCGTTAATGCTCATGGCGATTCCCGGAGATGTGGTTCAGCAAATTGTCTTGTTCAATCTATTGGTAGGGTCCTATTCAGAAACGGACCCGCATAGGCAACCTTATTTAATGCCGGACAACTTTCATCATATACTAATATTGCCCTGGTCTGTGAACTTTCCATGGCTAATGGAGTTACAAACTCGATGTCCAACCACTCTTGATGATAGTATTGCTGCACGATTTGCGACTTCCTATTTGCCGGACTCGAGAGTTTTCTTCGCAGCTAGCCATCATTAAACGTGCCGAGTAACCTGTGGCTGTCGCTTTTTTTAAAATCCACGTTTTATACCCAGCTCAGTTTACTCGAATATATGTAATCATAATGGCGGACAGTTTTAGCGAGATTGGATTTCTTCCAAAATGCAGACTATCAGGTCTTGGTCCAAGTCAAGAAATTTCAAGTAAGCATCCAGTCATCAGAAAGCATCTTTGCCACTTGAAAAGTCACCCCTTGTTGCTTGTATTGACTTGACCTTTGTTTTTGGGCCTGTGGTCCTGGCCCTACATTGCCCAGATAATTGCTGTCATTGTGGCCTGTTTCGTTTATGTGCGACGGAAACTGGAGGGATTTTTTAAGAACTGTCCATGGACACATATCTTATTTTGATGGTCACCTCTGTTCATGCAATTCATAATGACGGTAGCTTGCCCCGAATCCCTTTTCTCTTCGGAATCGTATATATACAACCTTAAGTACACATGAATGTCTCTTGTTTTCATGTTTTACTGTGTCTGAGGTGTTTCCATTTAGCCACGTCCCTCCATGACCAAGCGAAAGGCTGCCGCTGCATCCGGCGGTTGTAGACTTACGGATTTGTGTCCCGAAGATCGTGAAAGGCTTGCCGATCTTGTCAGTCACCTTTCCGACGTCCAGAGTGCGCTTGAGGCCGCGAACGAGCAGCAGTTGCTGCAGCAGTCCTCTGTTCAAGCCGCACTGGGAAGTAAAAATGTGCCGTTGGAAACCACACGCCTGAACCCTGCCCTCATCCAAAATTCACCGGCGCAATCCCTCATGCTGCATGATCCGTCAGGTTCCGAACTACACCAGCTAACTTGTCAACGGAATACATCATCTCTGCCTTTAGTAACCTCACTTGAGACAGAACGCTCTACCTTTCCTCCCTGCCTAATTACCCCTCCCAACCTGCCCTGCAGCAGTTACCGATTGAATCAGTCTTTGATTGGTGCCCAAAACGTCCCTTCACTTGCCGCTGCCGCCACCAACGCGATCCCTGCTCGACGGTGGAGTAATGACCCAACCAGCTGTCACTCCAACAATCACTGGGGAATTAACGGTCGTCTTCTGGTGACTCCCAACATGAAATACGTATGTTTCCATTTTCCGCTTTAGTTGGTACTGTGTGCTAAAGTTATCACGGTCTGGTCGTTGCGTGATGGTTACGACTCAGTGGAATAATATAGGAAGACATTGGGACCTTATTACGTCGAGACAGTAAATGCTTTCTAACGGGCTGGGAAGTCGACCTGTGGGTGTTTTAGGGCCGCAGGCCAAATGACCACAGGTATTAGCTAAATGGCTAGACACGCGCCTCGCGACTTTATGCCACTGAATGACGCAGTGGCGAGAGGTTCGACCCATCAACGCTCCCCATGCCCATTCTGAGTCAGGTTGCCGGCAAATTTCCTTTGCAAACCCATCTACTGTTTCAATTGAAAGCGCATTCACAAGGGTCGTTCCATTTGTGATAAATTCCTGTCCATATCGTATGTCAGGTACCTAGGCGCCTGTGGGACGTTTTAATAAAGTTCGTTGCAGCTTTTGTAGAGGTATGAACTCTGGTTGTCAACAACGGATTTCGACTATGTGATTTTATCTTGCGTCGCGCCAGTTACTGGCCAGAAACTGACGTGGTGCTATCCTGAACACTAACCTTTCCTGCATATTCCTCCGCCTATTTTGTCACAAGACATTAATTGCCCCTCCCTCTTCACACACACATACACTTCCAGGTAACTCCCACTCAGTACGAGCGCCAGCTCTCGCTACTCGAGTCTGAACTTCAGAACCTGCGTGCGAGTCTTGGTGGATGGACACACGGTCCGCACAGGCTCGTCACACCCGACCGCCACACGTCACAAGCTGATGAACGCCAAGGTAAGGCCGAAACGCTTTTTGTCTTCTTCAAGCGTCTCTCATTGTTGGACCGCCCTTAGTAAAGAGACCTCAACTACTCTGACTTTGAACAGGCATGTCCTATGATGGGCAGAAACACATGTCCTCCGTCAATACTCAATTGAGCCGCCCTGGAGGTGCTCTGTCAAATCAAGCCAACGGCGTGAGTCTGCAGGCTGAATCGGACAAAGCATCACTTGAGACAGAGAGGCCGGCGCCAGCTGCACCTATATCTAAACTGCCAGCCGAAGTACGTTGTTTTGCAGACCGCTTTTTAATATGACTTCGTGTGTTTCGAGAAGAGCGTTGAAGACTCGGCTGTAGGCTGGGTGGATAACTTGACCCAAATGTTATTAAACTCAGGTCTTCCGTCGGGGCCTCGCAGCTCTGGTGGTTAGGGCGTTGGCTGTACTAACACTTTCTCCTTACTGCGTGGATTCGAGCCCCACCGAGGTGCCGCGTCTTTCATAGGTTTGATGATAATGAATTATTCAAAATCTGCCAAAACACCTATGTATTGGAGGTCTCTTGGTTAGGAAGTGATGGAGGGACAGAAAGAGGTACCGCAGTGTCCAGAGGCGTTGCTTTGTTGGCAAGACTTTCGTTTTGTCCCAGTCAACACCAATGCAAAGCCTTACACCTTTTATATCTTTTCACATTTTGCCCAGTCAACGCTTTCCAAACGAAATTGTCCTCGAGCATACGTAACGCAGTCAGGCCATCTGAGAGTTCGATCACCGTGACCAGCGATGTACACCGTGTGTTCCACAGCTGGGTGAGAACAGGCATGGTAACTTGTGCGTGATTTCTTTTATAGTGATAATGGACTTGCGCTGCACCTAATGCGCACCCTCATCCCCCGTCCGGTCAGGTGTCAGGAGAGAGTCAAGGTGACTCGCGCGGCCGGAGCCGCACCTAAGCGTGTCGTCACACCGGGCTCGGGTCCCACTAGGCGCGAGTGCCATGAAGGCCACATTAGAAAGGAGCCATTGTAGCATGGATCTCAGGCCAAAAGTCGGCCACACAACAAACTGGGCCGACTGCAAGGACCAAATTACCCCGCCAATTGGCAACCTTCCAAGCCATGGCTTTTAAGGCACTGTGACAGCTACAAGCGTGTCAAATTGTTAACATTAATGAAAATGCGTCGATTCGTTGACAACATTCTCTTATCCCACTCCCAGGCCCCAGCCACCATCCAAGTCGATTAGTTGTCAGATTAGGGGAATGAACGCATTGGTGACCTTGTGTGCGCGTTCCACCTTCCCCGGTTGCTCGTAGAATTGTCGTCGCTTGTCTGGTCGGCCCAGTCTGATTTTGCAACACACGTCCCTTTGCATACTTTCGGTCCTGGAAGGGTGTATTCGCGCATTTAAAACTATCATCAACAAGACGTTTAGTCTTGTCACCGAAATGACGAAATTCTACATAGGTTGCCCTAATTGCGACTGCATCTACCACGAGACATATTGGCGAAGCAGTGCCACCAGGTTAAACTCAACCGTCATTGACAACTGCAGACGCAGGATAGGTCCGGTGTTATCTTTATAATTGATTGCGCTTGAATGTGCATTAACCATGTGTTGTCGTTGTCAGTCCGCTTGAGGAAGCTTGGTCAGTCATCTTTTACTAAATCTTGCCCCTTTCTTCGCTTTTAGACAGCCGCGGATGTTCTGCCATTCACAGTAATGGATAGCAAACCAGAGCAACTGAACGCTGTAGGACGCGCATGTTCCGTGCCCGTTTGGGAAGTTCTGAGTGATGAAGAGGTCGAGAGTTGCACTCTCAGAGATTCTTGCAAACCCAAGGACGCCCCCCTTAAACTGGCCGCGATGACTCCGGCCCCTGGAAGGCCTGCTCGGGGTTTACCGGCTAACCACTCTCCCTCTCTACCTTCCCGACAGGACTTAAAGACGCCCAAAGTCCTTATCGACGAGGCTGTCCAAATGGGTGAACAGAAGTCGTCATCCGAGAATGCCGTCCAGACAGATCCTACCGTGCCAGAGAGCAGTCAGCGAAATTCAAATGCAGTCACAGAGGACACGGCTGCCCCAGAGGTAAACTATCACTTGTGCACCGGCTTTCGCCGGGTGCATATTTTGCATTAAGTGTTACCGACGAAGAGAAGTAGCATTAATGGGACAGCAGATTACTTTTAACTTAGGCGTCCATGTCAGGACCGGAGCACGTCTGACTGATGTCAGTAAACAAGCCAGAAATAGCCATCCACGAAGACTCAAGACTCGAAGCCCTAAGGCAAAACGGAAATGCCCATCCCCGTCCTAATATCAGTATATATTGGTGCCAGACGTCAATCTCATGTGACATTCTGCCTGTCATGCGTTGTTAGGAATAGTCACTTTAAGCTTTCGTTGAATTCTTGGAACTGACCTGTTTTTACACAGCTGCTCACGGCAGTGTTACGTCAACCGTTTTGAAGCCTCTTTATGCACATTTCCCAGCATTATCACAAGTGGCCGCTCCACACCTATAAAATGGGTCACGAGTTTAACTTCGCAGCCACCAAAATAGTCGTCCACGCCAAAAACAAAACAAGCCGAGTATCGATTGAAGCCTGGGCCTCGGATGAGAACTCAGCCAATAAATTTATCGGCTTGACACTGGCTTAGAGCCCTGCGCAGTCATCTCCAGTCTTGTGTCGTCGGTCGATGATTGGATTACATGCCCTATAACGGTCGCTTGTTCTGCTGTTTGTACTACCTCTGACTGTGGACTCCTGCACGAATCCGAAAGCTCAGGACAATAAACAGTATGTTTTCGGTGCTCGACCCCTCTTCTCCTTCTTCACGTAAGTATCCGTAAACTTTGTAAGCTAGCTTTGAATTTTACCAGCAAGTTGAGCGTCAGTGGAACTTCCAAAACTGTAAGGCGGACATTCCAGATGACCGAATTTATTTGTATTTAAGAAGGGTATGCAAGTTCAAGTAATGAAGTAGACACCCCACGCAGCAGCAAGTACACAGACACATATAAGGGTTGTGTAATTGTTCACCGTACTAACAACACAGGTACTAGCTAAAAGCCCAGACACGCGTGTTTCGCCGACCTTGTGTCGCTGCCTGACGTAGGTGCGAGGGGTTCGGCTCATCAGTGGGTCCCTCAGATTTCTCCGTGTGTTCTCTGGCATATGAACTCCAATTTCAACACATGGGGCTTCTGTCGTTTACCCCAAATATACCGACTAATACTGCCTGAAGAAGGCGTACCCCTTATTTAATTAACAATAGTAGGTGTTTTTATGCATTTTTACTTTTCGGACTTCACATTTTTCATTCAGTCTCTCGAAACCCAAACGTCGGCATATGTCTCCGCCGCAACCGCTTCGACTGGGGCCCAGTCACCATCCATACCTGTGCCCGTGGGTACCGCCTCCAGTGACATCAGTGCCGGTCGTAGCACCTCACCCCGCCCCTCGGACAATGTGGAGTTGAAACGTCTCGCTGCTCAACGAGCTGCCCGACGCCTTGCTTCGTCCCCTCCGACCTCAACATTTGCTGCGGTTTCCTCAAAACCCAGGCGACTCCACCTACTGTCCCACAGAGACTCGCATAGGCAAGCGCCCAACCTCCATTTTCGTCGTCAGGTGCAGCTTGAGTTTGGAGGACGACCACAGACTAAAAACGTACAGACGAAGTCACGCAAGACAGCTCTTTCAAGAGAACTAGAAGAAGGACTGTATTTAAGTCGTAAGTTGCCCGTACGTGGGCGTCTGTGTTCGTTTCTGCATACGAACAGAAGAAAATAGACGTGCCATTTTGTTCAGACAGTAAAGTGATGTTCGGTTGCGGAGGCACCGGTTTTATTCAGTCGATTTTTCGGATGTATGCCCTAACCAGTATATGGAGCGGACAGTCAAAGACTCGGCGCAGCATTTCCAGAGTGCGCATGCTATTCAACCCCATGCTTTCGGCTTTCTGGATTACCGTCGCCCGATGCCACTTAATGAGCCGCAGCGATTTACTGGGCCTAACAGGAGTGTTTGACCTAATTCAATAGTTCCTGGCCAAAGAAGTGGATCACACGGACGCAAACATTCCACCAAATGCGAATACACCAATAACCATTAGCAGCGAGAAAAAGCGGTGTCAGAATTACCGTCCACAACTCACCGAACGCGGGACGTCCACCCCTTCGCAGCCGGTGAAAACAGCGTAACTAGGGATTTTGTTTAGGTCATAGTAGTTGCCGTTAGGCCGTCCAAGCAAGAAATTAACCTTTCGAACTCATTATGACTGATAATGGTACTATTTCTACACGCGATCCAACTAACAAGCGGAGTTTTGCAGACTATGGTTTACTTGATCTAACCGTTAATAAATATAGGCTGTGACCTTAGAAATGCTGATGCACTCATCTTGTATGGGATTGGACTAGAACCTCTTTGAGAATTTGCTTGTAGGTGAGATGTATTTCTGCACATACTGTCAAAATAGCCTCGTATATCTCCCGGCTCTCCCCATATTAAATGATACCATCAGGCGAAATATTCTGAAACTTTAAAAACTACCTGAAGCACCCTTATTATAGGCGCGTCTGTCAACAGTAAACGACGAAAACATCTTTAGACGCTAGCCTGACCCTTTAGGATCAATGGTTGAATCCACCCGAAGCCTGGGATCACTTGGCGCATGTTGCGGGGACCAAAGGCTAAGACACGCACCGGGCGATGCATACGCGTTTCTTATACTTCTTGCCATCCGATCCTTTATTTTCCAATTTGTGAGGCGTTTTCTAATCCTTCCCCCTCCGCCCTACATAGAGATACTAAACAACTGCAAACACACTAGCAGTAACTGTCCATCATCCCGTCGGGCCTTCGGTGAACTGGGCAGCCTGCTTTCCGCCGAGGAAGAGGAGCTATTTAATGAACTCTTTTTTGTTAACTAATACCCTCACTTGTACTATTTTCCACTGCTTTCACTTTTCATTGATTGGCCGAGTGTCTTTCACTTCTCCCTCTCTCTTCCCTTGATTTCACCATTCATCGAACAGAGCCTTTCTTTTGCTACCTTTCTTTGGTTGGTGCGTGCCACGTTTAGGTTCCGAATCAGCATCCGTTCCGTTGCATCCTGAGTGATTATCAGGGTATGTCTGGTTGCGTTTTCGCAAAACAATGCCTCCACCGTTTACCTTTAATGCACACTGCTGACAGGTCCGTAACTGTCTTCCCCAGCTGAAGGTCGTTCTCGGACTGGATAAAAAGGCGGGTGAGACGCCTCGTGGGCGAGCTCTGGCGTTGCTGACGACTACATGGTTACAGTGTCAAGTTATGGCTTCTGTTTCCAAGATGGCGGGCAACAATGCGATTGCCAATAGAAGCAAGGAGACGAGTCCTAGGAAGCAGTCTTGAAGAAGACACGATCGCCGGGACAGGAGCTTTATTAGCCTGCCGTTTCGGATCCCTGCTCGAATCCGAATTATCTGCTTATGGCTCTGATGATGGAATCCAGCAGGAATCCGAAACGTCAGGCTAATAAAGCTCCTGTCCCGGCGATCGTGTCTTCTTCTTCTTCAACAATGCGATTCCTGGCGGTGCATGCGATCGTATGTATGCAACTTTAGGCTCTCGGTCAGCAGCAAAGTCCCCAAGGGACGTATTTTCGGGGAATACACTCTCATTCTTTGCCTGTCTGGCAGGAAAGCAGGTCCACAAATCTACCATCTGTCAATAGTAGTGAAAATCCGATTCCCAGGTGGCATATCAAAAGAAGAGGGGGCGTTCACCGGGAGGGGTTTATTTGAGATCGATGTGTCTTTTAATGGTCGGAGATTTGCTCAGACGCCCGTGGGCTCGGTCGTCGCAGGCGACGTGGTCTATTGCGTGCCCCACAGTGTGGACAGAACACCGGCGACTTGCGATGTATCTGCCTCACTCTCTCTCCCCTCGCCTACCTTGTCCCGGTGGAAGCGGACACATTGGCTGATGGAAGGGAACAGGTCGCATACGCGCGTCACCCGGGGCCCGCCATCTGACTGAATGCAGCAGTTATATTCAGAGCGTTGCGGACCTCATATGTCCCTGAGGAGGATCGGGTGACCACGTCGGTTGGAAGCCTTCCGAGTCGTGGTAAGGTGAAATGCGACAAGCTTGTTGTGGTGATGTGTTGACCTCCTACGATGGTGGGTTCTCCCGCGCCGCCTCTTCCTAAATGCACCGGTCGACTGTCCGAGCCTGTCAAGAAGCTGGTGACGAGATTAGGTGCAGGGGCTGACATGAAGATCTCCGTTAAGGCGTGACACGCATTTGTGGAGGGCGGCGAGGACTCAGCACAGTTCAACAGGCTGTACAATGGTCGTTCTGGCCAAATACGGCCCGCTGCGGGGGCTACAGAGAGCTCCAACCTGCTTCAAAGCTGATTACCGTCAGAAGCCATACCGAGCGCTGTGTGAGGCGTGGAGAACACTTTCAGCAGCGCATAGAACGGGCCCTTGGGAGTTGTCGCTCGGACAACCTCTGATGGTTTTCAAACCCTCTGTCTACAGGATAACTGCCAGAACTGCACCTTTGATTTACCTGCACGAGTTTGGTCACAAAGGAGTTTTCATTAGCAAGATTTCAAAGAGCTTCAGTCAGTCCGGTATTTACTGAGTCCTGCTATGACGCACCAAATGAACCAACCGACAGATAAGTGTCAAAAGGCCAATGTTTTCCGGACGGGATTCTGTCCTTCTGCACTTGGAACATTCCGGCAATGGACTCTGCTCCAAAACTACTGAGAAAAATGAACCTCACGTCACTTCCTTGCGAGAAAACCAGCCTGTCGGTTACAGATGACAGCCTGGTGGGAAATGTATGTGCGATTTAACTAAAGACTGTCCTCTAAGTTGAACCACCGTGTGTGATCGCGGGAAGGTCCCAGTGGCCGCCGTGTTCGCTCATCAGTTATGCAACCCATTTCCAACAGGCATAAAAATTATAAGGGACTGAGTCAATAAAGCTTTACTACGATAGATTAACACCAAGCCAACAATTAGTTTTAAGGGAGACTAAGGAGCCGATGTATCAATAGTAACACCTGGAGTCCCGCTGGTTTCAGGGCCTATTGTGCGCACGTGGGCCGTCATCGAAAGATATCTCCCCCAATGCAAAATCACTCAGCTGAGTTAACGCTTAAGGGAGAAGACCTAGCACACTCCTGCCGAAGACCAGGAGGCTCACACGAGGAACCATCACGGAGGCATGACGCGCTTCATCCAACCCAGAGACAATCCCTCTTTCTAGTTTTCAGCCATGTAGGTGTTCCTTGCACACTTGCCTTGCTCCCAATGCCCCGCCTGCGAATTGCGCCACTACTTGGGCCTCGAAGACGCTAGCCGGTCCTGGCCAGTGGAGCCGATACACGCTTTCTCAAACATCACAGGCGGCTGCGCGTAATGTAATTGCATTAGTGGAACATCTACGGAGGAGTGACTGATAGTCAAACCAGAAGTCTTAACTAGCAGCACATGGTACGTCACTAGCAGTTAAACGGTCAATTTCACAACTTGGACGAATAGAGGCTCCTAGGTTCGGTTACTATTGCAGCCACGTGAATGAGGGGGCGGAAGAAGGGCAGTTACGTTACGCCAGTTCGACCGACGATTTCGATGATGCCCACCGTGTGCCTCAGCAGGGTGAGAACAGAGACGGTGTCTTGCACGTGGTTCAGTTTACAGTGGTGGTGGACTTGCGTGGCATCCACAGCACTCTATCCGCCATCTGGACCCGGTGTCAAGATGGAGTCAAGAAGACAGGAAGCGCGAGAGGCCGCCGGTGGCAGGCACAGAGTAAGCCCGCACTTAGGCTTATCGCCACACCCCCAGTTTAATAACAAACACGACGCGAATACCAAACGTCAACAGCAACCACCCAATCAACTACAAACACAGTTGCGTAAGGACGCCTGCTGAGACGCACGACATTGAATCGGAAGACAAAGTTGCCGAATTCCAATACCCTCGAAGAGTTTTGAGAGAAAATGGTTACCCGCGCATCTTCGTCAACCGGTGCGTGCGCAAACGTGACGAGCGACAAATTCGTACCGACCCCAAATTCTGGCGAGCGATCCCGTACACCAAGAACGCTTCCGAGGCCGTTAGTCGCCTTCTCGCACCACTTGGGGAGAAATGACGCCGACTCCCAGGTCGCAGCCCATTCGGCGAGACCTGGCCACACATCCAAGTTCGATGAGGCCGAAATTCTTGCGGGAGGGGTAATCGCGTGAGCCGCGAGTTGCTTGATTCATAGTTCACGGGACCCCAGTCTATCAACAAGTGCAACGACATCCCCACTCAATGTTCGGTGCTGAGGCTTAATCTAGCCAAAGTAATTGACCATTTGGGGAGCGCACAAGCCGGTTAGCCAGATAGCCGAGCAATCCCCACGCCAGCATCAGACTCGGATTATGAGATTTCAGCAATTAACAACTTGCGCGCCGGTCATCATGCATTTAGCACACTAGCGGACAACAATTCTCGACGAAGGGGTGAGCGGTTATTTATCGCAGGGTTGCAGTAGCATAGCGACTGCACCCTATAAATACCGCAACTACCTGCGCACGAATCACCCATTTCTGTCACCGTCTCTGGTGATGGGTTAATGTGAGATTTCGAAACGTCAGGCGAATAAAGCTCTTGTACTAGCGATCGCTTCTACTTCTTAACAAACACTTGACAAGGACTCTAAACAACAGCGGGTACGGCGCGAGCCTGCCATCGTACCCCGAACGTTGGCATTTGTTATGGGCACGAATCCCCGATAACGCCTGACAAAAGTTGATGTGGCCCCCGTGTGGGTCCAGCGCATCCAACCCGTGGCCCCTCGCGTTACACAGGGTTTGTTGGGCTCACATACTTGATGAGTTGCAATAGGTAATCACACAGCAAGATAGATACAGCAAGCTTTTCACACCGACAGACCCCAACTGAGGTTGTACGGCGACGCAGATTCCACACCAAAGTCGCGATCTGAAACTGAACAGGGTCTTCTTTTTCCAAGCGATCAAGCTCACTTAGAAGGGGGGAAGGAACAACGGCGGAACCTGAATGTTGCACTGCACTCAGGTCCTGATCCGCAACAATCTTTCCCAACCGTTCGGTATTCGGTCTGGCGTTCGACGGGGTCGTATCCTGTCACCCATACTGTTCAACTACGCTATTGACTGGATCCTCGGGAGGGCCCTAGGCGAGAGTGACGACGTTGAGTTTGCACCCGGACATCGGCTGACTGCTCTCGACTATGCTCATGATATCGCCTAACTTGCTTCAAGTTTTGGTGATCTGCCGTCTATGGTGCCATGGGTGAACGAGGTCGCTAAATCGGTCGGTTTGTCCATAAACGCTGGGAAGACCAGTGTTCTTAGGCTGCATCCCGGACCGGGAGATGGCACCCCTCGGGATTGATGGCCGACAACTTGAAGAAGTAGACAATTTTAAATATCTTGGGGCGACGCTGCTGCCTAATGGACAGAGTAAGGACGACACTGTCTCCCGAATCGATGCTGCCCACTGGGTTTTCTCAAACCTTCGGAAATGTCTGTGGAACCGACGTGACCTCTCCATCGCCACTAAGATTCGCGTGTACCATGCATCTGTCCGCTCTGTCCTTCTCTACGGTTGTGAATGCTGGGCTTTGCGCGTGGACGACGAGTGAAAACTGGAGGTATTTAACCATCACTGCTTGAGGACCATCTTTCGAGTGAAGTTCACCGACTTCGTCTCAAATGAGACAGTTAGCGCTCGCTACGACATCGCAAGGGTAACTTAAGCCATCCAAGAAAGAAGATTGAAGTGGTTCGGTCATGTTCTTCGTCGTCCACCTCAGGAGCTCAGTGTTACTGCCCTCGATCCGGCACCATTGTCCCATTGGAGGCGTCGAAGAGAGGTTCAGTTCAAAAACCTGGCTCGAC